GTATGGTTTTTATCCTTTATTAGAAATGTTTCTTTATTAAACACCATGTCTAGAGATATAAACCTTGTTACTTTCTAGGTCTAGACATCAATACCCTTTTTGATTGTGTGAATATCCTAGAAAAACACATTTTTTACTTCTATATGCTAGCTTATGGGGTTGATATGGTCTTAAGAGAGGATAACATGAACAACCAAACACACGTAGTTTAGAGTAATTTAGGGTGTGACCATACAAAACTTTATATCGGTTATGATTTTGTAACACTTTGGTAGGTAATCTGTTGATCAAATAAACTACTATTAGGAAAGCATCTACCCAGTTGGTTAGCTTTAGAGATGATTGTGTTAAGAGAATTAATTCTAGTTCTTGAACATGTCTATGTTTCCTTTTAGCTATTCCATTTTGCTGAGAGATATATGAACAAGTTAACTTGTGACAGATTTCATTTTTACTGGGAAGGTCTCTAAATTGATGAGATAAATATTCCCCCCTATCATCACTCTGAAACTATTTAATAAAACATGAGAATAAGTTTTCAGCATGAATTTTAAACTTAAGAAAAGTAGCAAAGACTTAAGACTTATTATGCAAGGGATAAATTTAAGAGTATCTTGAGGAATCATCAACAAACATAACATAATAATAACAGCCACTTACAGAAGAAACAGGGGATTTCTAAACATCAGAATGTACCAAGGATAATGGACTATTTGACTAATGAGTGGAGTTTGGAAATGGTCATTTTTTCTTTTACCAAGAGGACATGTACAACAAAAGCTAGTGTTATTGGTTGTTTTATTATCTTTTGATAACAAACTAATATGGTTTGACATTGCAAGAGATTGTAGGACAACTTATGAAGGATGATTGAGTCTGGAATGCCACTGTTTGGTTGTAGTTCTTTCTCTAATTTTGGCTGCTAATCCTTGAATTCTGTAAGGAAGACTGAAACCACCAGTAATTGGATAAATACCATTGTTAACCTGTCCGTGGAGTAGTGTTTGATCTGTTTGGTTCTTCTTCACAGTAAAATCATAGCTAGTTAGTATAAAATAACAATTGTTATCAAGACAAAATTTATCTATGAATAAAAGATTTGAGGATGTATGAGGACAATGTAAGATGTTTGACAGATAAAAGTTGGTTTTGTTTATTTGTAGGGAAGTAAAACCAGTGCTTTTAATTACTAAACCTTTACCATTCCCCATTGTCACATTTTCTTCTTGGTGGTAGAGAAGTTTCTGGGTGAGATACTGATCATCTAAGCTATTATAAACATTGGCCCTATTATCTGCATAACATACTTGGTAGTTATACTATATATTAGATTTAGCCACCATTGCTGCAAGTTCAGTTAGAGGATGGTGTCCTTGATATTGATTAGTACTTAAAAGTGTATTTTTATCAAAGTTTTATATCATCATTTTGTACTTAAAGTATCAATAACTTCTTAACTAAAACATGTTTTATAATAACGTATCTAATAATATAAGATACCTTTAATTTATGGTAAATGTTTATTTTAAATGCAGGCCTAAGAATTGAAATTGAAAGGACAAAGAGATGACCAAACTTAAAAAAGAGATGTCGTTGTAGTCCAAACTAGAACACTATTCGGTAATTAGGTCATATCTGGAGTTGTAAATCTCAGATGTAGGTCTACTTTATATGAATGGAAAGGTAAGACATAGGCCTACAACTTTTATAGGAGCCCAAGATTTAAAAAGGCCATTTTCAAGTCCAAATTAGAGCAACAACAAAGAAGTCCGAATATGTCCTCCAGCCAGAGCACTGTTTAGTGTTTGACCCATATTTGGAGTTTTAGAAGTCCAAATGATTTGTATTTTTTACACAAGATTGATGAGACAATTTCCTACAACTTTTATGTTTTCAAGTGGTTCCAATTTAGATGTTATCAATGATGTTTTGGGCAGACAAGAGAAGATAAGGATTGTCACCAAGTCAAGAGTTAGTCACCCACTTATTAATTAGTCATCAAATCAATAGTTCCCAATTTTGGCCTATAAAAGGAGGCATTTGCCATGC